ATTTTTTGTTCTTTGTTTTGTGTGTAGCTTGTTCTTAGATCCAAGAGGAACTGCAAAACTTCAATCAGATTTTTACTTCAACCTTGCCTATTTTTATGTTTGATTGCTTCTATGGGGTCCTTTTGTTGTTTGTATTGCCAACAGTTTGCTGTAAGAGTTTTTGATGAAGAAGAGTGTTGCTTCAAGATTTTCTTTCTCCAAGACTCTGATTTCTAATTTTGATGCCATTAAACATTTTCCAAGTTAGTTTTTAGTTTTCTACTTCTTGTTCTTCAGCTACTACCTCTGCCAACATCTTTGTAACCAACTTAATTATTTGTTCAAAGAATGTGTTTTGGATGGGGAGTCTTAGTTTCTAACTTTTGGAAGGATTTTGGTCTCTTTCTGTAAAAAGTGAAAAAGTTCTCTTTTTGGAAGGATTCAAGAACAATGATGTCTCATTCAGTTGTGCCAACTGTGCAACCTAAGATAACAATACAGTAACACATTTGATCTTGAGAACAATTGCGTTTGATCAGTTTTTTAGATTTTAACTAATGGATGTGGAAGTATTGCACCTTAGAATGAAGGTGATATTCCTTCACTAACCTCCCTGGGATGTGTATATTACTTTCATCAAGACATACATGTATGTATATTTTGCATTTTGTTTTGTCAGGCAGAGGGGACTTTATTTGTGGATTAAGAATGATGGATATTTAGTCCATGAGGTGTATCATTTTCTATCTTGAGAAACACATTAAGTGTTAGCGACTCTGTCTAGTTAGGGTTTGTTATTTCTTGGGTGCACATCGTTCCCACTGCTCTATGATGGTTAACTGTTGATCTGCTTGATTTATCTGATCTGACAATTCTTTCGGGTGAATGTCACATTAATGTTTATTTAATGGAACAAGATTATTTGCAGTTTGTCATTTGTTGCGGTCACAATAAATTTTTAACTTGCAATATTTGATTATTTTCATCTTTCTGTTTGTTACGACCCCCTTCTTCCCCTTATTTCTGTCTTTTGTGGGG